CGGTGGGGGTCCGGGGCCCGAGTCAGCGGGGGTGCGGGTGTCTGGTCTGGGGGTGCGGGTGCCGGGTCCGGGGGTGCGGGTGTCGGGGCGCCCGCGGGGGTGTTTTGTGGTGGGCGGGGGTGGGGCACCCCGGCGGCGGGGGTCCGGGGGTCGAACCCCTACCCTGGCTTTGCCCCCGAGGGCCCCCGCCTGACAACCCTGCAGATGATCACTATCGTCTTTTCGGTCCGAACTAGCAGTTCAATGTTTTCCAGCGTCCACAACAGGCGATCGCGAAGATTAAAGTGGATTGACACGCCTCTGAGCTCAAAAAATAACACGATGATCGTCATTCCAAGTCATGTCCCGAAGGATATCCGAGAATCCCTGATTAACGTATTGCATGGCTATGATGACGTATTGAGTTTGGATGGCAGCGATATCGGGCTATCTACTGTAATTGAGCACGCGATCCTCACGGGGGATCATCCACCCATTCGTTGCGCTCCGTATCGATACTCACCGGCACAGAGAGCCGCCGCGTTCAAAAGAATCAAGGAGTTTGAGGCTAATGGTTGGATTGAGCCCGCTATCGGACCATGGTCGTTTCCAGTAGTGATTGTGTCAAAGAAAGCAGGTGGAATTCGCATCTGTATTGATTACCGAAAACTGAACGATATCACAATTAAAGATGTGTATCCTCTTCCTCGGATTGATGAATTGTTGGATGCTATTGGTGGCGCTCGATTCTTTAGCAAGTTTGATATTCGACATGGTTTCCACCATCTTCTGGTTCGAAAAGAAGACCGCCCGAAAACGACGTTCATTCTTTTCGAAGGAACTTGGCAATGGGTCAGATGTCCGATGGGGATTTGCAATGCCCCAGCCACGTTTCAGCGCACGATGAATATGGCCTTCCAGAATTTCGTGCGAAAAACGCGGCTGGCGCAAAGCATAATCAATTATTGTGTAATTGTGTATATGGATGATATCCTTGTGTTCTCTACTTCCTATGAGGGACACGTGCAACACATTGAGTGGGCACTACACGCACTCAAGGACGCAGGGTTCAAGGTGGCGGTTGAAAAATGTCAGTTTTTCCTCACGGAAATCTCCTTCCTCGGCCACGTCGTCACGAGCCAAGGGTTGCAACCAGATCCTCAGAAGTTGACAGCAGTGAAAGACGCGCCTGTACCGACTTCCATAACGCAGGTCCGCGCCTTTTTGGGTTTGGCGTCGTACTATCGAAGGTTCGTCAAGGGATTCACAGCAATCGCGGGACCACTCACGAATCTACTGAAAAAGGATCAACCGTTGATGTGGACCCCGCAGTGCGATCGGGCTTTCAGAGAACTCAAGGCGGCCCTGATTTCGGCCCCAGTCCTCATAAGGCCGGACCCAAGAAAGCCCTTTGTTCTCATAACCGATTGGCAGCCGGAGGCGGTTTCCGCAATCTTGGCTCAGGTGGGACCTGACGGTCTCGAACACGTGGTGGAATACGCATCTAAGATGGTGCTGACCTGCAAGCGCAACTACGCGGCCCCGACGGGAGAGTGTTACGCAGCCTTATGGGGGATCAGCCACTTCCAAGCATATCTGTACGGTCGAAAGTTTACATTGGTAACCGATCACGAGCCGCTGTTGGCGCTGAAGAAATCCAAGGATTACTCGGGCATGATCGGACGATGGGCCACCATCCTGCAGAGCATGGACTTTGACATCTGTCATCGGAAGCACGAAAAGCACGGGAATGCTGACGGGTTGACACGACTGCACCGACCCGAGAAGGTCTTCAAGAGCGAAGAAGTGATTCCGTGGAACGAGCCGGAGGAGGAAAGCGGACCACGATACAGATAGGTGGAAATTTTGTCAAAGGAGTGAGTGACACGTGGCCTCGCTCTGACCTCTCTGCAACCCTTATCACTCTCTCTCCCCCTTCTCTCATAATGGCTACCCCACCTGTCTCTGCGACCCCTTCTTCCCCTGTTGATTCCAGCCCTCTCGCCAGCTCGTCCTTCTTTGCCACCCTTCCCGACAGATTCTGCTATTTTTGCACGTGTATCACACGGGTATATGGGGTGAATTGTCACCCTTTTGAGACCGGATTCGTTGAATGGGTAAACTGTGCCACGTGTGTCAATCGTGCTCACGGTGCATGCGTTCGATATCGAACAAGTAGTAGGGAATGGAAATGCCCTCTGTGTAGGACGGACAAACTACCTACTGAGGTTCGATTCGAGGCTGCCCGTACGGATGGCCCTGAATACGACGAGAAATACCAACGGGCGGAGGTCTGGACGGATAGAATCCTATTGGCTAAGCTGGCTGGGTTACCCTTGGATCATCTCACTAAGCACGACAGGCGTCGGGCTACCGAGAGATCTCGGGATTACCGATGGATCAACGGTCACCTAGAAAAACGTAAAACTGACGGATCGGGACTATGGTTGACGGTTCCCTATCCTTTTCAGAGATATGATTGGACTAGGTCCACGCACGAGGAACAAGCCGCTCATTTTGTGATACGTGTCACTGAGGCAACTATCGATCAGAACCGATGGTTCTGGTCTAATATCCGCGATGATGTGAAGCACATGGTCGCTAACTGTCTAGTCTGTGTTGCCGACCGCGCGCCCCTCCGAGGGCCGAATACGATAGTTCCAACGGAAGTAGAACGACCCTTTCAGCGGGTCAGTATGGATACGACTGACATAGACGTGCCACCTGGCCCTAACCGATGCGAATACTCCATCCTCTTGGTATTGATCGATCATTTCTCGAAGTATATCGAAGTCTACCCGTGTAGAACCCGAAAGGCCGCAAAAATAGCCACATACATCGATCGGTTTCTCTATACTCACCTAGATACAGAAGAAATTCTAACCGACAATGGGTCCGAGTTCAAAGGTGAGGTAGAGGAATTACTTGCACGAAGAGGCATTACGCTTCGACATACGACACCCCATGTTTCCCAGTCCAACGGGTTGGCCGAAAATGCCAATCGAATGATTAAGACGACCCTTCGAAGAAATCTGGCGGTGGGTGACACGCGTCCCTGGCCCGAGATCGTATATCAGATCGTCGGAATTCACCGGGTCACCCCCCATGAATCCACGGGGTTCACCTCCTTCCAGCTTCGAACCAATAGCCTCCCATGTGTCGATTACCGGGGCAACTCGGAAATTGCCGAAGCAGGGGGTAGAGACACGCGTGCCGCCCTTAAGGCCAAGGCCAAAAGGTATGCCAATTTACTGGAGAGGGCCGTACCTAAATTGGCCCGAAAAAGATAGAAAATGACCGAACTGGCCCACGGTAGACAGGTCCGGCTCGACATGGAAATGCGGGCCCACAACACCAATATAAGTTAGGGGACCTGGTGCAAGTACGCAAATGTGCACGCGACTGTAAACTCTCTCCCAAGTTTTCTGGCTGTTTCCACGTCGTCGAACTCGGTCCTAACGGTGCCAACACGGTGCGTATCGCGCCCGAGGCAAGCGCCAACCATAGCTCTGTCCCCATCGTCCACCATACCTCTTATATCTGTCTCCTCCCTCCCTCTGACATCCCTCCATCTCCCTCGTCCGCTGAAGGAGAGGACGGAGACGATCTAGTTCCCGCCTCGCTCTCTCCCTCCTGCTCCCCTTCTTCATCTTCCTCCCCATCCTCGCCATGAGTTTCATCACGGAGCGAGCTCTTGGCGATCATCTGTTGTAGCCACGTGGCTACATCTCTGAGATTCGGCAAGTTTGTCATCCACGTCTCAGTCCTGATCTGCGAAGGGTAACGCAGTTTTTCTGCACCGAGGGAGTGTGTGCCGCTGCTGCTTTTCGATTCGCCGGGAGTCAGCAGGCAGTAATATTGGCGGAGGTGGTGGCACTTTATCGACGAGAGGCTCCCGGAACGAGCCACGTCACCAGGGTCGCTTCTTTCAGTGGCGACATCAGCACGATTAGCCCTCTGCGGCATACAGCGATCTTGACTTCCTTGTGGGAGTGGGCGCAGCAGGTGTCGACTGATTGGCGTCACGGTCTCGCGCGCCCGGGCTACAATCTATTCCCGACATCCGGGACGGACTTCGACGTTCGCACCTATCCGCGTTAGCCGACAGTCACGCTCCCCGCCCTCATCCCCTTCCAACGCCCCCAATGAACCACCTCGCTCCCCTCTCCACCTTCGGTCTCCCCTCTCTTTTTCCCACCTTCTGGCAATCTGACCTCCATCCCCGCCTTTCTCTCTTACTCGAGCCTCTCGCCGTTCCGCTCCTCGATCCTGGACATTGGCGGTTGTGGCGCGAGCTCTTTGTCGATCTGTCTGTGTGCTTGGCCCGAGTGCAAGTGACGTGGGCGCGGACCAGTGAGCAGCCTGCGTGCATCGAGTACCTGGAGCTGTTGATCCTGCAGGCTTGGAGAACGGACGTGGAAGGCGATCTTCTCGGTTTCCTCTTCGGATTGGTGCGACCAGGCCATCGCCAGTCTATCGTCCAAGAGCTCATCGTCCCGCTCGCGCAATTGGCTGACGATCTCCCCCTCGACATCGTTTCACAGAGCGACGACAGTCCCGCTCCGGACATCGTCACGCGAACATTGGCGCCGTATCTCCAGTGGACCGCTTGCTTGGAGGAACCTGGGAGTGATAGCACTCTGCCATCACGACAGGAATACTTGAAGCCGTACGGGATCATCGATCACGCCTTCTATCCGAAGGAGCTCGAGGCGCTTGAAGGAGAAGAGGACGTCACTGAAGAAGAGAGCGACGCCGACGAAGAAACGTCGAAGGAGGGGAGTTATAGTGAGTACAGCGAAGGGGAGCAGAGTGAGCAGAGTGAGGAGGAGCTACAAGAAGAAGACGAAGAGGAGGAAGCAGGATCAGAGTGGGAGGACTTGCCGGAAGAAGCGGCGCGCACAGGCACGGAAGCGGAAGATCCCGAAGCGACACGTAGAAGGGAAGAGATCGCCGCCGGGAAAAACCAGCTGGAGATCGCCAGCGGGGCAAGCCTATGCATCAACGACGATCCGACCAGGGATCCAGAGCCCCCCGAGCCCGAGGATGGCGGATCAGCAACCGCGGCTCCGAGCACATCGCGACGGAGACGGAGTCGATCCCCCTCCCCCCCCGCCCCAACCCGTCCCCCAGTTCGTCCACGTACCGATGCGGGGAATCGGCCTTCGTCCCCGGTCATTATCCTGCCGTCCCCTTGATTACCTTACCCTCTCCCAGATCTCTACCCCCGTCACCTTTCCTCGCAACCCCTTTCCTCCCAACACTTTCGAGCACTTCTACTCCACCCGTCTCGCCGTCACCGTCCATCCCAGCCCTTCCCTTCAAGTCGCGAACCCTACGTTCAGTCTACACGTCCTCTTGTTCAGTGCCGCGTGGCGACAAAATAACGCAATAAAAGCCTACTGCTTAATCACGGGGACCATCCCCGCGTGTCGCCATCACGAGCTGTTTCGCGCGGCACTATTTCGCACTTTCTCCACCTTCTACCCTGACTACCTCGCCTCCCTACCCCGCAGCGGCGATCGGTTTCCTCGTTTCCACAGGATCATCCGCTACGAGGAGCTCCCTATCACAGAGGAAGGGATCAACCGATACCTGCCCCCACTACCTCCCCGCCCTCCCCGTGAACACCCCCCCATGTATCGTATCTACTTTCCCATTCCCACACGGCGTTGAAGGCCACGTGTCCCCCGAGCGGTATGAATCAGCAGTTTTCGCGAAGATCATGCCATTGACGATGACGTCAACTTACGCTCTGATTCGATCGACTGCGCGGGACTGGGGGTGCAGAGCACACGGAGATCTGATGGACCATGATGGTGTCACCTGGACGATCTCCGAAGCTCGAAGGACAGGGGGTTGCATATGACAGGGCTGCAGAGAGCGGGATCCGAAAACGCACGAGCCGGCGCGATCCACGAAGATCTTGCCACGGATGTTGTCGCCAGCTCATCATGTTGATCCTAGTTCCTACTTCGCCTTGCCTCTTCGTTCCTTGTACTTCTTTCTGCTTCTTCGTCCCCTCCCTTTGATTAAGCTTTCATGCAATCAGGAGATCGCATAATTTTGGAACCCCCTGCGCGTCACATATGTGACGAACGACTTCCCGGCCCCGTGCTATCTTTCGTACCCTCTTGGCCCAATACCCCCTTGTGTACCATACCGACCCCACAGGACCCTCGTCGCTTTTCTTGATTTCAGGCGCCTTGATTGAGCCCCCATTTTTCGGAAGTTCTATTGATTTTTGGAATTCTGTCATTTTGCAATTCGGGAAATGCACGGGAAATTTCGCGCGCCTTAGCGAGCGCACTGGGAATCGGGCTCGACAGTTAGGAATTACGGAATAAGCGGAGCCCGACGTATCTTTTAACTTGCATGAATGTTCTCGGTCACATCGGAGAAAACTCTAGGAATTTTGCGAGAATACGGATAGGCATAGGACTTTCTTTTCCCGCGTCGACTTTCGCGCGAGGATATGGTGATTTCAATTTTTGAATTGGTGTAGGATATAGGCAAGCTGTAACTGTTTAGGTGCCTTTTTCTCTTGCTGTCGGCACCGCGCATGCGAGCATCCTCCTCCTTATTTATCGCGCCATCCTTCCCCCGCACTCTCCCCTCTCCCTTCCCCCTCTTCTCCTTCTCCTATCGCAACTGTTTTTCCCTCGCTGCTTTTTTTGCGCGCTTGCTTCCCTAACTTGATCGTCTGAATCTTGGATCCGTCTCGCGCTGCTTTTCGCGCTTCATCTCTTCCCGCTCATCAACCTTGACTCGCGGAGCCCGGTTAATCCTCCGATCACCCCTGCTCACCAATCAGACGCGTTGAACAAGAGGATCTTCCTATTGCGCGACGAATCTGATTGGCTGACCATTGGGTTCTGAAGGATCAACATGGCTTCCGCAGCCCGCTCCCCGCTAAGTCTTCTCCTCCTGCTTCTTCTCTTACACCCCGACTTTTCCTCTGCCTTCTCCCTCCCTTGTCCTCCTTCCCGCAACTATAAAGTCCGCAAGCACGTCTGCAAATCTCTCTTACGTTCTCGACTCCCAAGCCAACTTTCGGGAAGCAGTGGCTAGGCGGAGTGTTTGGTGCGAGTCGGAAAGTCCTGTCGGGCTGACGACAGGCTGGCCGGTTGCGCGCTGGATCCCCACGACGGACTGTGGGATCGGGGCGAACCACGTTGAGGTTGCGTCGGCGGGGTGACGATCGCAACGGTGGAAGTTGGCACGCGACGACCGGGATCGTCGGTGCGGGTATGAGGATCGGTGATTGGAGTTGAGTGAGTGAATTGGCCCGGGGCCATACTGGAAATCCACGGCGAAAGCGCCTTTATTGTTGCGGATCTTTATCTTTTGGTGTGAGTGTACGGCTGCAACGACGAATGTCCTCTTTCGGATCTCTGTATCTCCTATCACGACATCTCTCTCTCCTCTTCCTCTGAGTCGAATGACGCTGTGTCATGAGTTTGTCCTGCCCGTGAATGAAAATGAATCTGTGTTTTTTCTGTGTGGAGGAACTTCTTGTGAAACTCTTCCATTAGTTTCCTGGGTAATCCCCAGATGTCGAGGGATTGATCCTCTTGTCTTGTGAATGGTGGATACGTGTGTACATCGGTTGATCTCTGACCCATGCACCCCTGGTCATTTTCACGCCTTCCACAGTGGATGTATGTATGTAGATGCTTGTTTATATTTGCATTGATTAGACTCGACGTTCGATGGGATTTTTCGAGAATGCAAGAGTGTTCTGAATGCACTGCCCATGCCATCTGCCTTATGCTGCACAACATCTGCAACCGATCTACAAGGCTGCCTCGAAAAACAAGGCGCCTCGAATCAACGCCGCGTGGCTTATTAAAACCTGAGTCGCGGGTCAGTCCCTCGGTTAAGGGCATGATCAAACTGATAAGTGCTCTCTCTCTCTCTCTCTCCCTCTCTCGTGTCGAAAAGAATTGATTAGTGGTTGTGCGGGCGGTTTTCCTTGATGACGCCTCGGGATTTTTGCAATTGATTGACATGTGGACTGACGAACGCCCTTCGATCGGGCTTTAGCCTCCCGTATTTCCCACGCCGACGCGCCCTTTTCCTTACGACGAGGAAAGGACACGTGTATGCGAGTGGGACGTGCGAGAAGCTGTCGCACGGATCGGCGGACGATATTACTTCCCTCCCGAAAATCGTTGCTCGGGATTCGTGGATGCTGGATTTGTCATTATCGATACTCACTTTTCGCCCTACTCGATATTGTTGCCCTTTAACGAGTTGATCGTCATTCCGTGGACAGCAGTGGAACCCCACTGGCCTCGCACTCTGTGCACTGAGTGCCTGCGTTTCGAGCGCTACAAATCCAAGGGCTTTCACTACCGTATACGGAACGACGACGAACATAGAGAAAGAGCCACACGAGTGAGACCCTCCACGTCGGATTCGGAACTGACTAGCGAGCGACGCCGTGACTTAATACGCAAGCGAGACACGCGGAGCGTGCCGAAGCCTTTTTGCTCTAAACGAAGGGCCGTAGCACGGTGGGAAGTCCGACAATACTTTTTGGATTAAAACTTTGTATTCCTCTCTCCTTTCACGCCGAATTCGCGCGCGCATTCTGCAACGCGCGAAAAGCAATCGTCTCACTTCATCGGACCGTCACGGGGGATTTCAGTTCTGTCTGTGTCCCCACACTCAATTTCCCAAAAATCCTTAGCACACCCCATCTTGCTGTTTTTCTGGGCCTTTTTTCTGCACACTTAGCACTCCGAACGAAAGACAGCACGGGGCGTGAGGTTGCGCGTCACAGCCCTGCCCTGACAACTCGTGAAACCCAGGGTGTTGTAGAGGCCAAGGTCCAGACCCGCGGTGATTGCTGGTAACGGCAGCCAATGGTTGTCCTGACAGGAAAGGCCACTTACCCTACCCATACCCACGTTAAACCACCAGTACTTGGCCCAGCTATCGGTCGCAGAAAAAAATAGAGTAGAACTGTTTCTAGTTGGATGAATTTGGGCGCTCCTGTAGTAGCCCGTACGTGGCGCGTTAACGGGTACGACTCTAGGAAGTAATAGTGGTTTAATAATCCCAGCGCACCCCCTGTCCCTACTATCCTACCTCAATGTCACCAGCACTCAGGACCATCACCCTACCAGTATTGAGGGCAACTTGGACCAGACAGCAGTGACAGGAACCAGGGCTGGGCCAACCTCCCAGCCCTAATGGAACCGGACGCGGACGAACCTTGCCGTATGGGAACTTAGGATGCCAGGCTCATGTAATCTTCTACAGGCCCAATCCACAACTCTCCACATGCACAAACGACAAAATATATGGCGGTGTATCTGTCAGTGTTCTAGTAGAGGATGCATTCTCGGTGTGCACATTTGGTGAGTAGTGGAGCGAAGCCCAAAGGGCCTCTCGCTCCAGTACACTTTTTTTTTTTTTTTTTATAATATAATTTGGACCATTTCTCGATTTATGCGTGTCATCCTTGTGCAGGGGCCATGCTTTTTTTTTTTTTTTTTTTTTTTTTTTTTTTTGAATGGGAACAAAGCTCCAATCTATTCGTGGGGAGCAACACGTGCTGGGAACCGGGCCCACCGTCCCATATAGACATGCTAATCTTCTCTGTATCGTTCCAATTTTAACGGATATCCCGAATGACGGCTCCACTACTTAGTGATGTTGCTATGAACATCCACCACTAACAGCCCAGCTACTAGCTCCGGTCTATTGGTGGGGAGCTGCACCTGCTGGAAAATGGGTCCAGCGTCCCTCGTACAAATGATGCTGATACATAACCAAGAAGACAGGAAATGTAGATAGTAGGGAGGGCTGCCTCTTCAGCCAGAAAATGGCCGCCAGATCCTCATGATGATGCTAGCAGTGCTACCTCCTCTATCTTGATAATTATGGGAACTCTGCA